CCTATTGTACACTTGTGAAATCTGGCCCATTAGATCGGCAGACATAAAGAGTCTAGCAACGTTCGACCACCAGACCAGTGCCTTCGGAGTTTGCCTCATATCTGGTGGGAACACCGCGTGAGCAATGAGCGTGTTCGGCACTTTGTCTACGGCAGAGGAAGAGGAAGTGAACTGCTCAGCCCTGTTATTTTACGCATCAGACTCCGATGACTGCATTACGTATTGCGCAAGTTAGCACACCGACCGCCGCGAAGTTCGTTGTTTGTGTGTCGGTGGGAGGGGGGAGGCGAAGCGATGAGTTGTTCAAGAGGAACGGACCCTTAGTTCGAAGTTCGCCTCGGTTGGAGTCTCTAGGCTCCTTAGTTAGGGCCCGAAAAACGATGAACACGTTTGGCTGGATACACTTGTTGACATACGAAGGAGCCGACCTCGGTGACGTTTGTGTTGTGAGTTTCTTTGTCTCCCGTTCCGTTTAGCCACGGCCTCCAACCATGAGCTGAGTTCAGGATACAGAACATAACCTAGGTAACGGCAAAACAGCCTGGTTGTTAACTAAATAAATAAATAAATTGTATATTCCTCGACTATGCGAGAAGCTGTTCTCTATAAGGAACAGATCAAATAATGGTACAACTTTTCCATGACATTTCATCAATACATTTTCAGAGATAAACATGGATGCAATTGTAAACTATGTTACACAGAGTAATCAGAATCGTTCTGCTATTTTTACCTGCCACTGAATCAGGATTCTTTACAATCACATGATAGATATTTGGGCCGAGAGAAAAAAAAATGTAATGAAAGGGGCTGTTGTCCGAACTGTTATGTGTATGCGTTTCAGAAATTTATTCAGACACCATGGATACCGTTTTCGAATGCGTTATCTGGGGACTGTGATGTTCCGAACATATTAGTCACGTTTTAGACAGTTAACTACCTACTGATCGCAAGCTTAAAATTGCAAAGAGTATAGCATGTTCTGATATCACTTGGAAGTTTGTTCCAAATCTTTGAGTATTGGGCTAGAAAGAAACGTTCTCTGATTCTCGTAGAAAATTTTGGAATCATGACCTTTACCTCTTTGTTACGTATTGGGTATCTGTTGTTTACAGATATGTGAACACCGCTTTCAGGACTGCGAATTTGACAATTTATGATTCTGTACAGAAACCATAGGTTCAGCTTCATTATCCGAAGACAAACTGGGTCAAATCCAAGTGTATCGCATCGCTCCTTGTATGTCAACTTTGAGGAATATCCACATAGCTTTTTCGTGAAGCGCCTCTGAACCCTCTCAAGAGCGTGCTGGTCAGATTTCCGTAGATTAGACTGTACCATTGAACAGTATTCCATACACGGCAATACATATGTTTTGTAAAGGGATATGCGAGATTCCGTGAGGTAAAAATTATGGCAGATATAACCAATGGTCTTCATGGCTTTCGAAACTTGGAAGTCACAGTGTTCAGAAAAGTTAAACGTAACTGAATATCGCACGCCCAAGTCGCGAATTGTCCTGCATTGCGAGATATAGGCACCTTGTAGTAATAAACTGTCTGGCGGTACTTGGTATTTATACGACAAAATATTACATTTGTCCACGGCAAATGACATCTGCCACAGTTGGCACCAGGAGTCAAGGGCGGATAGGTCATCCTGAATGAGACGTACGGCTTCCTGATTATTTGCACGTGGTTGTGAGTAGACAACTTTAATGTCATCAGCAAAGATAAATGCAACACCATTTCTTATTCTCTGGAATATATCGTTAATATACATTAGAAAAAAGTGGACCAAAAACACTCCCTTGAATCACTCCACTAGTGATTGCTTTCGGTGTAGAGAAATGGTCGCCTATGCGCACAACCTGATGTCTACCAATTAGATATGAAGACAGCCAAGAGAACATCGGTTCTCTAATGCCTATAGCCTTCAGTTTTTCCAGTAACCTTCTGTGAGGCACTCTGTCAAAGGCTTTTTGCATATCCAGGAACAGGATTACGACACTGTTTCCGTTGTCAATGGCAGCCGCTGTGTGGTTTAAAAAGTCAGTCTGGCATGTTGCGCAGGATCGACCTTGCATGAAGCCGTGTTGCGAATTGCTGATAATGTTAGCTTTGTTCAAGAATATAAATAGTTCATCTTTTACTATCCTTTCCATTATTCTAGATATGATGGGTGTGTGATTTATGGGACGAAAGTTTTTAACCTCGTGGGCAGCGCCATTTTTATGTCGCGGGATAACAACAGAAGTTTTCCATTGAGTAGGGTATACTCCGTTGTTAAAAGAGAGTGTGAAGATGTTGAGCAAAAGCAGAAGGAAGTCACTACCACTGCGTTTTATTAAACATGGGGGTAGTCCATCAGGGCCTGCGCACGTTGAGGAGTATAAGCGAGCGACTTGACTAGTGATTTTCGCTATAGTGAATTCTACTGTGCATAGACCTTCATTATTTTGCGGCGTGATAAATGTTGGTGTGTCTGATGATTCAGTGAGCATTGATTCGGCAAATTAAGCACTGAAAGCTTCGCAGATATCATCTGGTGCGTCGTAGTATGTTCCATCAGGCGTGGTGATAAAACTGAGATTGTCACTGCAACGCGAACCCCGGGCACGGAATAGTTTGGCTAGCTCAGCTGTTTTGCTAGGGCCATTCAGAGCTTTATACTCTTCTAGAATGAGAGTTTTGTCTCGTTGATGCCTCTGTTCTTCCACGAGCTTCGACTGCTGTAATAATAGCGCAAAGTCAGCAGTTAACTTGAAGTTCTGACGAATCTTATGAAGCTTTCGCGCTGCCTTCAATGCCTTGCGATCGGATTTAGGTTTGATTTGGTAAGCACTTTTTAGTGGTATTGCTGAATCGATGCAGAAGCCGATTATACTATAAAACAGGTCCGTCGCATGTTGAGGGCAAGAAGAGAGAAAGAATTTATCCCAATTCATCGAACGAACCAGGTCATTGAATGAGTCCCAGTTGACAGAATTGAACAGACGATAATGCTTTGTTTTCTGTACATCGGCCATGCGTAGTCTTAGACAGCATTTGATTACGCGATGATCGCTCCCCGGAAATTCATCAAGAACATTAACACTGATTGCAGGTATACCCAATGAAAAAATGAGATCCAGCGTACTTTCGCCTCTGGTAGGTCGAGAGACTTGTTGCTGCTAACCATTCATTTGGATACAATAAACGATACATAAACGATGTTCATCAGTTTTTTGTGGTTCAGCTGGCGTGTCTCCGTTGTGTCTATTTTTCCTTGCCCATGTATTGTGTTTCGCACCTCCATCTAACGTACATCATGGTAGTGATGCTGTGGTACTTTAATGCACCCCTTGCCAATCACTGTTGCGAATGATCAGGTCAGTGAGACGAGTGTAGCTTTCCATAACAGGGGAAGAAACACCCAATGATGTAACAATGCCCATTTTTCTTGCCCAAGTGGATCGTAGTATTAACAGTAGACTTCTTACAAGTTTGATGACGGACCAGCTCTTACGCCAAACAAGTTGCTATTACTTAGACCGAATAAAGAATGATAACGATAATAAAAACCTACAAGAACCGATTTGTATTCAAAACCTTCTGAAACCAGAAAAACTATTAGCTTCAGCGATACTTTGTGATCGGTATACTCAAAGTTGGAGATAGATGAACTGCTTGGTCAAGCTATTTTGAAAAAGGTCGAGTAAAGAATACTACACCCTAATGAATACTAGACAGAAATGGCTTAAATTGCGACGTGGGATGTGATCCTATTCGTTTCGGATGCATTCAATCGTGACAGTTGGTCTTTAGCGATGACAGAGAACCGCACTATATCCAAGGACGGATTAGTTAGAATTGTAGTTGTTAGAATGAATGAGGAGTGTTTGAGTGCGATGATAGAAAGACCTGCCATCTTATAGGTAGCGAAGGGGAGGAGGGGTAAGTCACGGCTTTTGACTTCTCCCATGGGAAGTGCGTCTTCGGATCCGCCGCCCCAGGAAGGACCACTGTGAGGACAACAGACGGACGTGGAGAGGTTCAGGCGTCCCGTTGTAAGTCCTGCGCTTCTCCATAGCGGACGAAACAGGTTAAGGTCAATAAGAGTACATTGAAACTAGGATAAATTTCATTCGAAATTTGGTCGGGAGAGTAGAAGATTTCTGAGTGCCCTATTCTGTGATCCGTTCGTTCCACTACCATTTGCCTAACCGTTGTTCCTGTCCCAACCCGAATGTCGTGCGCTCTGGCTCTCAGTCCAGACTCTGTGATACGATGTTAACTCAACTCCAGGTTCACTTGCCCTTTGATAACCTGGCTCACCACATTCAATCGCTCACACGTCGACCTAGTCTTCTAATTCTGAACAACTTCATTATGGCACCACATGGTAAAGCGGTGCTTCAGAGCGCTTTACTCTCCACCCCACCGTGACATCTGGACAAGGATGTGCCAACCATATCGTTACCTTGTAGGCTCACGTTACCCGCATTGCAGTAGTGACCTGACAATATAGAAATGTGGGTAGATGTCACACACATAAAAACCATTTCGTCCGTGAGGCATATTGTTTTGTTCCCCCCATTCCTATGTACAAGTGAAACACAATGTCACTACTCGGTAGCGCACAGATTGAACGCCCAAAGCTCAGATAGCATGCTTTCTGATTGGTCAATTACATGAATTCAGTGTCCTGTATAAGCCACAGTGCATTGGATGCGATAGCTTTTTCTATCTGTGACTAGAAGCTGGCCTATCGGGGATGAATTCAGTCTTGTTTAATGAGCCCCATGTGATGAAAGGACTGTCACAATATTGCCCTTAGGATTCGTAAATATGGGTCAAAACATGCGATCCGTTAGTAGCATGTCGCAGTTGGAGAAACAGATTACGGCACGCACCATCCAACTAAGTCCTCGATTTCTGGGACTGGAATGGGCATAATGGTATTCGCTATGTGCACCGTTAAGGATAGACAATATTGTTGCTTATTGGAACATAACTCACATGATATGTGGGTGCAAGCATCGGTGGATCATTCCACGCCTTGCTAGTATACGCAGCAGACTGTGGACGCAGTAACGTTGGTATCGCGGCAGGTCCATGAGGTAACACGTGAGCCAGATGGGGCGGAACGGGTGTGTCAGTTTTGGGTGCACCCGTAGCGCTAGCCAAGTAACCATCTGAGAGGAAACTGTTTGACCTAGAAAGGAAGCAAATTCCGCAAATGAACATCATTGGATGATATGACAGCGAGTAGCGGCTGAGCCTTTGAATGGCTCTAAAAAAGATTCATCCGATGGATCCATGCAAGAGGGAAGTGACAGGCGAAGGAAGATTTGCCAAAGAACCAACAAAGTAACAGTAAGGCTGTGACAACGAAAGACAAACGCGAGATCAGAAACAGGAGACTATAAAGGTCAACAAAGACAACACTACTTGCCTTTGGACTTGGGGATCTACAGCAGGTGGTGCAAACGCATGAGCAGTAGTAGAATATGGCGGAATGCTAGTAGTCTGATGGGTCCCGGTGAGCACCGGTGACGGATATGAAGGCAAAGATGGAGGACACCAAGGCGTAGTCACCACGGGAGCGGGATCAAAGTTTCCTGCAGGTGTTGGTGGAAGAACAGGAGCATTGTGTGAAAGTGCGGAGGTGTACACTGGAAAGGATGGCGCGCGTTGCGAAGGATTCAGCACAGATCCCATACTAGAAAGAAGGGGAGAATAGACGAAGGATTAGTGCAACTGTGCGTTGGTCCACAAAAGCAAAAGTGGTTTATCTTACAGTGTAGTTTAAACGTATTGTAATGGAGTATGTGTACCATTAAAATAACAGATATACCAATATAATAGAGATCAGAGTAAAGAACGACAGCATTCAAATCAAGGGAGGTTATCGTGGCAGGTATGGAGGTACGGTGGCTAAGGTACGTTATGGTGGGGCGGAAGTCAGGGGTAGTGTTCACCGAATAGGACATCACGAGGACCAGGAAACCGCTGCAATTCGTGTGAGCCGTTAGGAGAAACGAATACCACAGCACAACGTTCGTTGGTGCACTTAAGAGGTAGGGGACAATGAAGGCACTTTTCTAGAACTCTTGGCACCAAATAAACAAGGTGGTTATCACTACCCACTGCGGTGCGTAATTTGAGCATAGTACCGACAGTAGAGCAGGTCAACTCATGTCGCACCATTGGGTAACGAGTTCAAACGGTTTGGAGATATTTATCATGCACAACCGTGTCCAAGGTAGAACGCACGTACATAAACAACCTGACTGGTAGTTGTAGCTGTTGTGTTTATTTGGAAGAAAAAGATGACACCCACGTCACAACCTTCTGGCATGTGGAGACAAAAAGTTTGCAGAAGGCTTCCGATTCATCGTTAACACACCCCGTTCTGCGTGTATACATGAAGATGAGGAAGAGAATGGCGTCAAAGCCGTAGCTGCCCGACAACACCAGAACTGGGAACAACCACAGGAGGTTGGTACTTACAAAGGGACTACAGAGAGCCGGGCCACAACGTGTGCATAAGATGGAGACAGTAGAAACCGAGAGAAGGACGAGCGGAGGTTGAGATACGCATGATACGCATGTAAGGATCACCATCCCCAGCAACAATGGGTAAATGAATCTGCTTGAAAGTGTGTCGGAGATAGGAGAACCAAGATCGGGAATTGCAAATGCAACGCAGGTCAACAGGATGTACACACATCTGATGTAACCTGCTGAGTCATTGAGGAGAGAATTGGAGAGAGTACACATTGGGGGTACGCAACGCTAAATCATTGGCTGTGATCAGAGTCTAGCTACCTCATAATAATCGTGCATCCCATCACCATCTGAGGTGGCTAACGATCTGCAGGAGCAATTAATGCAAATGGCGACAGCGGACGACATTCATGTCGGATATAGTCTGGCCTGTCAAGCGTGCAGAAAGTGGATAAGTTAAGTGAGTCGTAGTACCAAGACGCAACGTAGTGGCCCATACAACACCGCAAGCGCGATATGACCATGAAGGCAGTGGGGAAGCATAAACAATCGATGAATCCCCATCACGCATTTATCCTCTCTACCAATGTGTACACCGCTGTGGAGTAGTTCTATAAACAAATCCACCATGCTATAACCCTCCATGCTCCACAATGTGCTCATACCCCTCATGTCTTCAAAGATTCCGTCGAGCACTTAAACAGCAAGAAAACCAGAAGGTTAGCGGAAGGATGCAGAACGACCCATGACTTTTCACTTATCTTATAAATGCACGAAGTTACCAACAGAGTCAAACAAGCGCAAGTAACACGAAGAAAAAAGGAAGAACATACAGTCGTACGGACAAGCTGCAAAGCTAGGGAGCTTGTCAAAATACTGCATCGTAGAACCAGTAACCGCTTTCATCTGATTACCGAAAGTGTTGACGTGAGGGCCACTTACTCCATGAACAGCTGAACTCTGTGAAGCATTCAGCGACTTTTTTTACCTCTACTATGAGTCTCAAAGCTGACCCGTTGCCTGTGTGCACAGAGCTCACCGAAACAAACCTCATAAGCAAATTCGATATCTCGCTCAACGCTATCCATCAAGTTATCAAATCAAGCAGGTCATTTTCCAAGCTGGGATCTGATGGCATTTGACCAACCACCATTAAACTAGCAGGGCCTGATATACCATTGCTTCTGGTGAGCATGTTTACTCTATCGCTGGAATCTGGCCACTTTCCAGAGCAATGCCTCGGTACAAAGGAGGTTCCAAACAAACGACTGATAACTACCGACCAATCCCACCACACTCCGATAATCGCTCAGCTATTTGAAAAACTGGTTAGAAAGGAAATGATGAGCTCTGTTGATTCTATTGACCTGATCAATAATTCGTAGCATGTTTTCAATAACAAGCGATCGTGCACCACCTGTCAACTGCATTACATTAATCACATTTCAGAAGCAATCGATTCCGGATATGCAGTAGTAATCTTCTTTCTTGACTTACCCCAAGTATTCGACCGAGTACCTCACAAGCGACTGTTACAAAAGTTGGAGAACTTTGTGATCCGAGACCCATTACTAGGTCAGGTATCGTCATACCAGAGTGATTGTCATCAGTTAGACACTAGGTGTTTATCGCTTTGTCCCACGCTCAATCACCAGTAGAGTCATTCAAGGGTGCGTGCTCGGTCCCTCACTCTTTTTGTTTTACATCAATGACATCACTACATCAGTAAAATAGGGTACGCCATTTCTATTTACTGACGATAGCAAAACCGTCTATAAGTTTCGGCGTGACGAGCTTCACGGGACACTACTGCTTATTCAAGATGACTTACATTCCCTTGAGCCATGGTGCTGCACAAGGGTGATGAACCTCTCGTGTAAGAAATCAAGCATCATGTCCTTCGGCTGCTGCATCCCGAAGGATCCATCACCCTAAACAATGAACGCGTCCCTACACAGTTGTCCACGCGAGATTTTGGTATTAGGTATTCGTCTAGCTTCAATTTCTCCGAACAGACCCAATACCAAGTAGCACGTGCCAGACAACGTATGTTCAATATATAAGACGAAATTCACACAAATCGTGCTAGTTGAGCTTTTGAAGCTACTCCCATGCCCCATCCTCAAAAACTGTAGCATAATAGACGGCAATATGAGAAAGAGTGACAATTGCTGTGGAGCACCTGCAGAGGTCGTTTACTAAACATCTGCAATGAGTTGTCGAAAAACTTGCAATGAACTTCAACTCGAACCACTTTAGATTCGACGACTGAAGTACACACAATTTACAATAATGCTCAACTCGAGCGTTTCGCAACAAAGATTTTACACTGAATATACCAAAGGCTAGAACGAACGTTCGCTCTAATTTCCTCCTGGTCAGATATAGCTATCTGTGGAATAAACCACGAATTTGATCGATACCGAGTATGGCTGGAGCAAACAATATGATGTGGAAAGCTTATTGAAGAGGAAAAGTGTCATTAGCAGTAAAGTATGATAGACATGGACGGAGGCAATAATAGGAGCTGAGGGCGGAAAAACAACGAGGTCGTCGTAGAGTTTGGAGTGACCGCTGTGTTTGGATTGCGAACACAGCGGTCTCAATGTGGACCACGCTGAAGAAAATCTCTGACATTTCGATCACCGAAACCGTATCCGAAGCGGAGAGTTTCAGTGTTGCTCTATAGGGGCAACCTATGAGTTCTAGCGTGTAGGAGGAAATTATGCAAGAGGAGGCACTGCAAACACAATAGACTCACGTGGCTGAGTGCACAGGACTTGTTGGGTAACCAGGAACTGTAGGTGGTGTGACTTTCGAAAGCGAAGGGAGATTAGGCGCAGGTGACTGAGGAATGAATGAAGACGGAGTTTGAGCGGTGGCGTACGGAGAGTAGGCAAAGTCCGCCACAGCTGTCGGCCGTAAAGCACAAGGACACTGGCGACCACAAAATGCCAACGATTTCTTCAAGGTAGAGAACGCAAGACGAGAAGGACATACAAGATAGAAGCTAGTAGAGTAGAGCATCGTGATATAGTATCGGAAGCCTGTTTGAAAAGAAAATATAAGCAAAGCATCATGCGGACGAAGTTCAGGAATAAACACATAAATGCGAACTCACTTCAAAAGGACACGAGAACATCGGTTTAAATTGCCCCACCGCTCTTCGGCGCTCCGTGTCGGATAGGCTACACCACAAGCGGTGCGCAAGCTCGTCAGATTCTACCGAGTGAAAGGATGATTCGGGATTCAAAGTGAACCGGTGTAAAAGTTGCAGAGCGAGCGTTATGTCCTCTTCATCATGGCCCGATCGAATTTGTCCAAGCCACATGGCAACTGTGGTGAAAAGTTTGGACACACTCGGAATGAGTCCAGTGGACTCATCAAGACATTTGCTGACCACGATCAGTTGGAGTGCAAGCGGCTACAAAGGAAATTTCCGTACAAGTGACATTTCGCACGAGTAGTACGTCGTAGTTGGGCTTGAATTCACACGAATGCAAACAGATGCACTCACTAAGAGTTGGTCACCCTGCAGTTCCGCATTCACTAGAGAATGCATGCCGTACCATGACTGAATGATGGCGTCCAAGTCACAACACAGTATGGCACAAGTCCAAGCAGCCTTATACCGATCGATGGACGACAGCTCGCAGTGTTCGGATAAATTGAGGCATCGGGAAATTAGAATACCTAGTCACGACATTTAGAAAAGAGGGAGGTATTGTAAGGCGGGATTGAAGCTATATCGATCAAGCACCAAAAGATAATTCGTGCATCCAAGCGAATGCAGCCAAACTTCGGCGAACGAGATGATGCACCAACCAAGAAAAAGCAGCGATCTGTCAGCAAAACGAAAAAGGACTCTATGCAGTCGCTCGTAGGTGAAATAAGTGCAGTCATGGAGAGTAAGCAACAATTAGACAGCTCTAGATGCTTACAAAAACACAACACGAAAGTGAGTGTAATCATACAATGAGTGAGAGTTCGCAGAATGGAAATGGATTTGTGGGATGACTTAATGGTGTAAGGTGAATAGCAATCGAAAAAGGTTTATGCGAAAATCGAATTGCGAGCAGAAAGATCAGTTCGAAAAACGCGAATATGATTAGCGGAGCAGTATAGTATGAACGTGGCACGCAAAGCAGGAATGCAAATAAGGCTGGTGTTGATGTGTCATATAGTAGGCATATTCAAGGAAAAACAGAGCAATGACGGTTTCGGAGACTCGCACCGCGGTCATGATCAGCCATTAATTATTTAAAGTGGACCAATCCGGCCAACAGAGTTTATTTGGCCACAAATCATCGACTAATTCCGCAAGTGTAGCCCGTAAGGATTCTTCTGGCATCACCCAGTATGGATCACTGGATCGAAAATCAAGTGTGCCGCACCCTCTTATTACACTCTTGTTGATAAGAACACAAGCCACACGCCGGTTTCCATCCTGTTCGCTGTATATATATATATATATATATATATACTATATATATATATATATATATAGACACAGCCACAGGACGCCTGCGTCTACATAGGGACCATGAGTGGCTTGCGCTGCACCACTCACATCTTCACAAACCGTATATCTGGTACACTCCCGAAGGAATAATATTCGAAGTCTCCTGGAGCCAGTATAATCGAGATTGAGGGTGTTAGACAGCTAGGTACCTTGTCAACATTCACATCAAGCGCAGCTAGACATTGTATTGTACAAAGGATATTTCATGCGTCAAGAGCACGCCCGACAGAGTCAGTCGAGTTTAGCCCCACGGAGACGAAAGAGCACATCATATGCTTCATCAGCTTCGACCTTGACAACTGCCCAATGGCAGCTGGAATCCAGCATATAACCACGTACACTCACATGCATTTGTCTACACTTGTGTATGAACTACCACAAGCTGAGTGGGGAAACATTAACCCTTATGGACAATAGTACCACGAACATGCATGGGTTTGGACTGGAAGTAAAACTAGCAGCCATATTCGTCAATTTATCAGAAATCGCACGTACGGGAATAAGTAAAGAATAGGAACTGTCGGTGGTTACTTAAATAAGCAAACAAATTATTTATTGGCGACAGTGCGAGGCATGCTTGCATAGGCATGATCATGGTAACATAAACCAGAATGATGGATAACTGTATAAAAATATCGCAAAATAACCAGTAACATACTGAATCTAGATGCGTATGGTGCGCTGAAGATTGTGGTGGCGAGATCCTCACACATCGTCGACCCGCTACTGCTAATGTTGTGCTGTGCGCTCAAATCCTGAACGCCTCCTCGTGGCGACCGCTATGTGGTAACTGGGTTACACCTTCTTCCAGTTAAGATTAAGGACACAATTCCGCGTGAGTAAGTTCACAGGCTCATGACGCTCGGCCCCCTGCCTATTGGGTGTATACTTTATCAAAGACTGGCTGAGGACCCGACTCTTTCTCATATCAGATGTGGGCGTCCGGGCAGTATCCTAGTCCAATCCCCCAACAATGAATTACGCCAATAGTAATTAAACCATGCTGCACCGGCCTGGATTGCCGAACAACCTCGTGGAGACAGCTGGGTGGTTCGGGATTATCCTGTTCTAGCGAATGGTTCGGCGGCAGTGTTCCAGGACGTGGTTGGTTTTCGCCTGGCAAGCGTTCTCCCTATAAAAAGCCACATATGTCCGATTAACAACACTGTGACGTGGCGGGTGTGACTCGCCACTAGATAAAGTCACTGCCCCTTGCCTCTCTCTGAGTGGCATTGTAATAAGGGTGTGTTGGGCCCCTGGTTCTATGCGATCCTAAAGGCGTATGAGCTCCTTGTTCGGTCACCGGCTCCCAATGGGTTGCGATACCCTCATATCGCCTGCTGCCTTGTATATTAGATTTTTGATCAAAGGCTCGGAGTGGGGTCCCCTAAGACAACCCACTACTTCAGCCTGGGAAATCGGGTAGTATCGCACCCACTGACTAACCATGGACTTACAACCACAACCATTCACCCGCTGTCTTGCTGCTACCATGCTACTCACTCATTTTACTATGGCAACTGCACAAGCACACGCCACCATTTTACCTACCATTCCCCTGTACCATTCACACCCATTTTTACCAGATTCCCTTCTACACCGATGAACCTGTTCCCATGACATATGCCAACACAACCACACAGTGCTCAACAGAGAGCTGCCAGTCCCAAAGTCTCCCATCTTAGCTCTTGCAACCCGGAACGCAGTTCAAACTTGTAGCCTTCAACGTACGTACATTACTGCAGATCGGTCAGCAAGCTGGACTTGCAAGGCACGCTACAGACTCTTGGAACTGATATCTGCTGCTTGAATGAAACGACTCCAGGACTTTAACTCGGTCTACCAGCTGGTATCACTGCTCCACCCACGCACACGCTTCCATCTCTCTGGTGACGTCGAGTCTGCCGCATCTGAGCAAGCTGGTGTTGGAATTTCCCTCAGTGCTAGAGCCGAGGCTGCTTTGATTGATTGGATTCCGATCAATAGCCGCCATTGTCCGATGAGGCTCCATGGCTCTGGTAAAGTTAGCAGACGTCGAGTCGAAAAGCATGCGTTCTTTGTGATAGTTGCCTACGTGCCCACTGACTGTAGCTCGGACACAGTCAAAGACCAGTTCTACCAGAACCTTCATGAGCTGCTCCTGAAGGCTCCTAAAACAGACATCGTTGTTTTGTCAGGTGACTTCAACGCGCGTGTCGGTCGTCTGCTGCCATGCGAGCGCCACCTCGAGGGACCGCATGGATATGATGACGTTCGCTCAGACACTGGATAGAGACTGCTCAGTATGTGTGCTGATCACCAAATATTACTCTCCAGCACCAGCTTTTGTCATCCTGGACGCCAGTAGACCACTTGGCGCCCCCCATCATCAAGCCAGCGCTGGTCACAGATTGACCACATAGCTATAAGTCGCAGGTGGCGTGGCAGCGTACGCGACTGCTGATCATTTTGGTCAACATGTGTCGATACTGATCATGCACTGGTATGTGCAACCGTTTGCATGCGTTTCGGTGGTTCGCCTAGGTCAAATCACACCCGATTAAACACCTACAAGTTGGAGGATCCAATGGTGAAGAAGGAGTGTCAACAAAGGCTTCGTGAAAATCTCGCTCTCTCTCACACTCTGGATGTTGATCAACACTGGTCAAGTCTGCAGCAAGCCTTGCTGTCGGCCGGTTTGTCCAGCTGTGGCCTCGCTCGCTCCACTCCCAAAAGTTGGATCTCGGGAAGATCTTGGGAATTGCTGAATCGCCGACGGTCTGTGCCTGCTGGCGCAGAGTACAACGAACACCGAAGGTCTATTACGCAACATCTGAAAGCAAGCCTTCGCTCTGATCGTGAATCTTGGTGGTCAAAACAAGCTGATGAGATGGAAGCCGCTGCATCAGCTGGCAACTTCCGCCGTCTATTTTGCATCATCAGGGCCACCGGTTGCAATTTCCACGTTATCAGCCAGACGATTTGTGAATCATACGGCACGAAGATCACCTACCTTTACAGGCATTTGGGTCGCTGGGCAGAGCATTTGGCTCTTCAATTCAACCACCCAATACAGCCCCATGTGACATCTCCAGTCCCAATGTACGATGTTTGGCCTGTCTCCGCAGCCCCCCACCCAAATGAAGCAGAGATTCGGAATGCAATCCAATTTTTGAAATGTCACAAGGCTCCGGGTGCCGACAGCCTACCACCGGCTCTATTCAAAGATGGTGAGGGTGTACTTGTCAGCGAAATCCTATTGCTGTTCACGAAAGTTTGGACTGAGGAGAAAGTTCCGAACACAAGGGGAGAATCGGTCATTGTTCCGATTCACAAGAAGGGCACCCGCGACGATTGCTGCAACTACCGCGGAATCTCGTTCATCTTGGTCGCATTCAAAATCTTCGTGTCGGTCCTACTTAGCAGGCTTTCGACGACTAGAGAGGAGCTTTCCCGAGAAGAACAATCCGGATTTCGTCCAGGCCGCCGTTGCATCGATCAAATCTTTACGCTTCGCCAAGTTCTCGAACTTCGTCACATCCACCGACGGTCAACAATCTTAGTGTTTTTGGACATCCGAGCGGCATTGGATTCTGTAGATAGATTTGCGTTGTGAAACTGTTTACCGAAGAAAGGTGTGCCCGACAAGTCTGTAACCACCCTGAAAGAATTTTACAGTCACACGTCGGGCAAAGTCAGGGCTTACGGCATGCACTCTTCTTCATTTGCTATGACCAGTTGTGTTCGCCAAGGTTGCCCTATTTCACCTTTCCTCTTCAATTTCGCCATTGAAGATGTTCTCCAAAAAGCACTGAAAGGTGTCCAGGACTGCGGTGTTGAGCTCCACTCTGGAGACAGAGTCACGGACTTGGACTATGAAGATGATATCGTCTTGTTGGGAGACGACCCACAATCCGTCCTGAGCGCTTTGAACCGCTTGGCGATGAAGGCGTCTAAGTACGGCTTATGCTTCACTCCAGGAAAATGTAAAACGCTGCTTTAGGGCTGGCAGATGCCCGAACCCGTGCTCACCGTTGCTGGACATGTTCTGGAGCAAGTCCCTTGCTTTATTTATCTAGGGAGTTGCATCACGGCTGGTGGCAGTGTTGGAGATGAAGTCACACAACGGACTGCAAAGGCCCGCCTTGCATTCATCAAACTGGGGCACCTGTGGCGTCGTCGTGATGTCAGTCTCAAGCTCAAGGGCAGGGTGTACAATGCTTCCGTCCTTGAAGTACTCTTGTATGGCTGTGAGACTTGGCCTATTCGCTCGGAAGACATGAAGCGGCTGTCAGTCTTCGACAATCGCTATCTACGGAGGATTGCTTGGATGTGGTGGCAACGTCAGGTAAGCAATGCAGAGGTGAGAGACCGCGTGTTTGGAGCGAATAGTGCCAGTCTTCAGGACGTTATTCTCCGACATCGCATGCGTTGGCTCGGGCACGTTCTGCGCACGCCGGCCCATCGCCTACCACGTCGAGCGCTATTTGCACTCCCAGGGAGCGACTGGAAAAAGTGCCGCGGTGGACAGCCAATGACGTGGAGAAGGAGTATGAAGAAGGTAACCTCAAGTTTAGCGGCAGTCGGACCAGTCCGTCTTTCAGGTTGGGGACTACGAGATGCTGAAATGCAGTGGTTGGAACTATTATACGTCGTGGCCCGCAACAGACATCGGTGGCGTCAATGTTGTTCTGCTATTACATCCTCCTCTTAATACATACAAAAACGCATAAAACAAAGACGATGAATACAAAATGGCGTGCGTAAAACCAAGAAACTCGTTTCCCGTTTTTAAATCGCAGTTCGTGTTCTCATCCGCTTCACTCTTTTTCCTATGCCATGGTTCTGATAGCCCAGTCTGTTAACAGACTATGAATATATATATATATATATATATATATATATGTGTGTGCGGCATCGGCCGTCGCGCAACATACAGCGGGGTGGATAAGCGATAACATGCTATTGCTGGCGCCTCCTTTCTTCCCCTGCACATACTCTCCCATTCCCCGTTCCACCTAACCCACGGCATCCTTCAAGCCAGAACGTCACCAGCCATACGGTTGCCCGCCAACGCAAGCGTATGCCTCCGTCCAAAGCGCTCAACATTGGGTGCCGGGTGCTTCATGTTGTGTGACTTGGGTTCCAGGCATGTCTCTCGGAACACCCATTACAGAGTTTACGTCCTACATGGACCCAGACCGTTAATTTTGTACGAGATTGTAGTTGGCCTTTTGGAATACCCTTTATATGAATCGATTGCAACGTAAAATAATAGTTGGAAGTAAATACATTCTGGTTAAGAATTGGGATCGTATATGAAACAGAAAAGTGCTGAATGCGGTCCGCTACAGCCCTTGCATCCCACCATTACCCTGGTCCAAAACTCAAACACAAGCGGCTGGTCGTTGAAGTGTTTAATGTGGTGGAAAAGATTACTAGTTTCAGTTCAGGTTATCCAGACGCCAACCGCTGATCTAAGTGGTGCATTTGTGAAACGGTCTGCCGGATTCGGGTCCCGGCTGGATGTCCATGTCTGAAAGGTTCGGACAAGTAAAGTGTAGTGCAATGTTGCAAAGGATCCCCCATCCTTGTGTCAGCAGCTTACACCTGCGCATTCAAGCTATCGCAACCGCAATGTTGCCGCAGCATAATCGTAGGTGGTGTCGACAGGTGCCGTGTTCGGGAAATATGAACGCCACATATTTACAGTTCCGACTTTTTCAATAGCATATTGCAGATAAATGTAAAGGAGCACATCGTACATGGCGTTAATCATGACAGGGGTCACATGTTATGTAAAAACCCCACAGGTTAAAGTGCCCGTCGATTTCAACAAGCTGAACGTGATGCGGTGGTTCCGCGTCGGCATGCTCTTACACTAGCTTCGAAAACTAAGTTCTCGGGTTAGCGTGCAATGAGCGATTTTACGGGCTAGATGTCCTGTTTCTTGAGGAGTTAACAGCATTGAAACCAACTAAGTGCACAGTTAGTTTCGAGGTCATAGATCGTCGTTAAATACAATCAGATGCGAACTGAATCCAAACTAGCTGCACTTACCACAAAAACATAAACAGAATCAGACTCACCGCAAAGAGTACGAAACAACGATGCATTTTGAGACATGGTATGATTGACAATTGCGGCGAGCGCCGTGGACCAATCGGTTAGAGGCCAATCAGTGAGCACACTAGCCCAGTCACCAAGAATGAGGCCAGTTAGTAGAAGCGTCAGCGTGTGCAGCGCAGGCTCCTTGGATGAACCTTGATTAAGTGCGGTTAAAACGGATTGCTGGATTTCAGCACACAGCTCGTGATCCCCAGTGAGCTTCGCCAATAGAACAGAAATCGCACTCAGTGGAGATATCAGGTCACAGTTAAGGGCGGTGAACGTACTGAAATCAACAGAATAATATCAGATGGGTAATGCAGCAGAACAGAATGGTATTGATTCAGCTGTTTTAAGCAGAGGGAGAGAAAAATTCAACATCACCATCAACAACGACAGCGTATCAGTGATTTGAACTGATGCTTCGTAGTCGTACAACCAAAGGAATGAAGAATCACAAGAGGCACAAATGGAGGCATAGTGTAGAACCTAAACAGAGCGTTGACAGAAATATATCAACTACACACACTCAAGAGCAGGCGACTATCGTGTAAAGATAAGGCGGTTTCGGTACGACAAACTCCTTGAGGCTTTCCCTGCCCGGCGTCGTAATCAGACATTAGCTCGCCAAACACGCGCTAAATAAGCAATCCAACTACGAGAAAACAGCAAACGCGCCACTAGTGTCGATTGCGAGTCATGTCCTGAAAGATCTCCAGCCAAGCACAAAGCGCCACATGAACTCACACCCGCGAGGCGAAAGGCAACAACGGCACCGAGCTTGGGCCTCAGTGACTTCCTTTCCCGCGTCCAAATCAAAATTTGTACACCTCGGCCTTGCGTCACCGTAAAACTGGCAAGCAACGCAAGGCGCTCCTCGGTAAACGTTGACCGGGCATACGTATTACGTGCCAAAACCGACGCGTTATTCAGTGCAATCTGTTGCTCTAAGGAACTAGCATCCAACGCGAAGAAACTGGACATCACAGTGGTGTGATGATTTGCGTGCCTCAGCGATCCATTGAGCTATGCTGAGTGGTGTACTTTTACACATGCAGAGCCATTCACATCAGACTGGTCAATAGTTAGAGACCAAACAAACACAGACTTCTGTTCCTCCAAGTTTGGGGCTAGGGTGACTGTGGCTGCTTACTCGATAAAAGAGACACTATAGCCCAGCGCAAAAACCCCGCTGCCTTGTGGTCAGGTTTTCGAGCAAAAGATTTTGTTTGTGAACTCCAATCGTTCTCCTGTCTTGGGCTAAGCGACCAGACAGTATTCTGTGCGCGCAATACAATTCCACGAACTTCACATGATTGCTTGATGCTCTGGTCATCGCACAGAGTCAGCGGCGCCCTACTGCTGCATCGAGCAGAGTGGATTAAGGTTTTGATGCTACTGCTCAGGCCTTTCTGTCTTCTTATTCCCTCTCTTCCGCTTTCTCATCCTTATCGTCCCGCTCCAACTCCCCTTTTAAGTCGGCATATTAGTCGACCTCCCAAAGAATCAACAAAAAGAGAAACGAAATTGTTTAGCACGATCTTGACATCATCACTACCTTCTCTCAGTTGAGTGTGCTCAAGCGAAAGCTGCTCTACTATTGGTCAGTGCTGGCGACCTAACGTGTGATGTCAAGTCACACGGAACAGGTCAGACAGCCGACAATATGGGGTAAGGTGAAAGGTTGTCAGACACCGCATGGCATAATCGGGGGCCTCATGCATCCGAATCGCAGTGGAGCAGCGGGTGACAGGGAAGTTCACGAACAGTGATGTGGGACGACGGTGTACTTTTAATGCACCAGATTAACTAGCATAGCATAACGTATGAGCGCTGTGATTCGTGAACCAAAATAGCACAAACGCGATGTCACACGATCCAGCTGAGAGGGAATGTGTCCACATTTCGTGCGATCTTCCAAAGTCGTGGAAACGTGAAAAATGTCTGGACAGAAGCGATGTGCATATGATGCTGACTTTAAACTAAAAGTTGTCGCGTTTGCTATGCAATCTAATAATTGTATGGCTGCGCGCCATTTCACGGTGAATGAAAAGCAAGTGAGAGAATGGCGAAAGGAAAAGTCAGAAATGTCACTAATGCCTGTTGGCAAGAGGGCAGCATGCGGTAGAGAAACCATGTTTGCTGCACTAAAGGAAGCTAGCGCAGTGGGTTATGGAGTCACGGCACAGCGGGTTAATCGTTACCCGAACGAACAATCGGATCAAAGCGCTGACAATGTTAAAAAGTCCAGAATTCCATCCATCAAAACCGGTGAATTTTGTTGCTTCCTCCGGATGGTGCAATCGTTTTACGAACCGATTGGACATGTGTCTACGGACCCACACAAAAGTAGCCCAGAAACTGTCGAAGGAATTGGACTGTAAAATTGAATCTTTTCAAAGCTTCGTGATTCAGCTGAGAAAACAATACGACTTTGAACCGTCACAAGTAGGAACTATAGCAATTTACTCGTGTGTTTTGATATGCCTTCAAATCGCGCGGTGGGGTAGAAAGGTGCTAACACAGTTTTTGTAAAGACGACGAAACACAAGAAAACACGGTTCACAGTTGTTTTAGGATGTATGGCGGATGGTTGCAGTCTATCCTCTTTCATTATTTTTAAGCGTAAGATGCTGTCTGAAGGAGCGAAGTTCCCAAACGGGGTGTTTGTGCGACCAAACGTGAAAGGATGGATGTACGAGAGTGGCACTATCGACTGGCTGAATACAGTTTTAGGGAAGCGAAGCGGTGCGGTTTTAAAACTACCGTCTGTGCTGGTTTGGAATTCGTTTAAGGTACAGTGAACCGGGAAGGTGGAGAAACGATGCCATGAACTGAAGTCGTCCGTGGCTTTAATTCCCGGTGGACATACATCAATACTGCAGCCACTGGATGTCTGTCTCAATAAGCCCTTTAAAGATAGGCTTCAGGTCAGATGGATTGAATGGATGGCATCGTCTGATTTAGCGTTGACGAAGGGTGGCAATGTGAAAAAGGTTGACATTGTTACAATTGCAGAGTGGGTGAAAGAAGCGTGGCTGGATATTCCATCAGAAATTATCGTACGATCATTCAAAAAGTGCTGCATCAATAATGCTATGAATGGAAGTGAGGAGGATGCCCTTTTTGAGGAATAAGACAATGACGAGCGCCATAGAATTAAACAGGACGAAATTCAAGTCAAGTCAGTATAAGCTTTATGTACCCAGATGAGTGCATTTTCAGCATTTCACATTATCAACTGTAAATGTACCAAAGAGTTACCATAAAAATGCTAAGTTTAACAATGAGAAGAATGAACTGTCATAGATTGATCGAGCAACAATCCAAAACCCGAACGAACTCTTTGGGATATCTGGGAATTCCAAATTCTCGATTCTGAACTATACTACTGAACATTTACCAGTAGTTCAATTTCTTTATATTTTTCCCGTTGGACGGTGTGGTACTCGAGTTTACCTGTTCATGCACAAATGTTCGGCTTTAACAAACTGATAAAACCCTGCAATTTTTCTACATTTATTATCTTTCTTTTTCTTTGCTTAATTGTTGTGAACTTACGGTTTGCGTCTCATCGGTTGTAATTTGTTTTACTGTGTCAATTTTACGGACTATTCGCCATTTGCGCAGACTTAACTGCTGACGTGGAATAAGTGCTGCCCGAATTAGTGAGTCGCATTACCTATTCGTGAGTTAATTGTATTCCTTTTTTGTTTATTACTGCTATTGCAGAACCACGGTTATTCAGTATACTCATTCCGCCCACTGCCCTGCATTTTAACTGCCCAGACCGTGCGTTAGTTAGGTGATACGATTAGCCTCATACACTCTGCCGTAACAGTATCCATTCAAGAAGGAAAAGCTTTCATTAACAGTTTTCTATAGCATTCGTTTCAATTGACGCAAAACGTTTTGTCCAAAGATAGGGGATCGTGCGCAATATTTCGCTTTTTATTCAGAAATGGATGGAGTAGAGGGACTTAATGACCTTGGAAGTTGATTGAACAAACTACCTGTCAGCTTAATCTTGTAAAACTGAGATGTATACGGCAGATAATGTAAAAAATGATGTTCGGCGGAAAGGCAAAGGCCGATTTAAAGGCCCCGCCACAATGACAGATGACAAGTATCAAAAACGGTTTGGAGATTCTGACTGGGATTCCAGTTTTGAAGGATTGGAGTAATTTTAATACCATTGTGAAGCGTTTGGATATGTGAGCCTATAAAATCTACCAGTACGTGTTGTTCTGCTATGTCTTTTTTCAATGTTATGGTGAGTGATGGTGTTCGATTCTGTATACTCAGTATGTTCCTGTTACTGTCATCCGTCGCGGAAGTCAAATGTATAATATACCGAGAATTTTTGACACAAACATAACCTGTCTACCTATAGGCACTTGAAATCCCTGGCTGGGATACAGTCTGACACAAGCGAGTAGTGCCAAGGCAAGATAGGGGCATATGTGTGTAGTAAATTTCTGGGTGGTTTTTGCATGTGATTTTTTCAAATTGCGCACAATCTTTTTATAAGCCGACCCCCTCTCCCACTATAGACAAAATGTTTCAAAATACCTCGCCTTATGGTTGGCGGCATCCGGTTTCGGATTTGCCTGTCACTGTGGCAAGCCACAGGACGCCTGCGCCTACAGAGGGACCAGGGGTGGATTGCGCTGCACCACCCACAGCTCCATCCACACACCCCATATCCAGTGTAAACCCGAAGGAATAAGACTGGGAGGCATGTGGATGGAAGCCACGTTTCATCAACGGAGCCGGCCCAAACACATTCACAGGCAAACACAAGCACGCTGCATTTGGGGAATCAAGCGTACACAAGGCGGTGGCCGGACCGTAGGCCGCTCCATACTGAGTGCATGGAACCACACTTCTAGCCTAGCACGGCCACAAGGACTGTGCACCCCGTCCCCGCCAGCAACGATCAACTGTCTCCTGGAGCCAGTAAGGACGAGGTAGTGGGTAATAGACAGGTAGGCACCTTGTCAACATGCACATCAAGGGTAACCACACCGGGGATACCAAGCGACAGCCAATCACCTGAAACGACAGAATGAAATAAAACAAATCCAATAATGCATGCAAATACGGTGGCATAACTTCGCTAAATTAGCAAATGGAGAAGTTGGTTAGCAACGAAGCCGCGATGAGGAAAAAAATGTCCAGAAGTTACTTTAAAATTCTACAAACGCAACAAAGTTACCGAAGATAAGCGCGATTAGTGTAAGCAAAGTGGCCAGTTAATAGAAGACTATTCAGGTAGGCAGAACG